CTACTACTACTACTACTTCCTTCCTTCCTTCCTTCCGCGGCGCAAACGTTCGAGAACGTCTTTGCGTAGCATTTTCGGGCAAGTTTTCGACTTGGCCATCTACCATGGACAGCTGAACCCAGGCCGCTTTCGCAGCTAACATTATCGGCAAAAAGCGCTCTGTGCACTTCTCATAACAGCAAAAACATGCGTACAGGGAATTCGCCCGGGCCGATAGCCCCAATTAGCGACGAATATAAGTTGCCCTCTGTTAATTAGCTTGGTAGGCAGCGTAGCTGTACAGTTGCATGTCTACCAGCTTCTATCAATCAGCTCAGTGCTACCGCAATCTTGTCTCAGCCTTGAATCAGCTCACTCTTTCACCTCATTGGCTTTGCTAGTGTTTCCTCAGTACACATGTCATCTTTGGTGGCATGACCTCAGACCAGAGAATCATCAGAGTCAAATCGTTATGGATCACAAGCACATAGGCAATACATGCGAGTGGTGTCAGCTTGCAACTTTTCCAGTCGTTCACACATCCCGGCACGCCACAAGGCTACTAGTGGCATGATGTGTATCACTGACCATCGGAGTCATACTACCTCAGTGGCTGTATGATTCTCATCCAGAAAGCCTATGCAAAATCCCGATCGATGGAGGTTGGTTTTATCCATCTCACACAGTCTGTTCGGCGATCTGATATGGAAAGCCAATAGTGTGAGCCTGTCCCCAACCCACGGAAGTGAAGCATGAGTGGCTCCCGGCGAAAATCGAGTGGCCTCATGCATAGAGACCAAATGTCCCTTGACACCATCAGGCTTGAGCTGAGTCTTGCCTTGGGCATTCTCCACAAAGAGCTGGCCTCCAGTAAAGGTGGAGCAAGGGAGGGAGAGATTGATGGATTGTTTATGATTATGACAATCTTTATGGGGCATCGCCATGACATTGCAGATCAGCGAACATGTAGAGAACCGCAATGTGCTGTCCCATGTGCTGATGATCCCCGACAAAGCGCGAGTAGCCCACGGGTATTGAACCATGTGATTGTGAAGTCCTGCCATGGATCCATGTATCCATGCGCCTGTGGTGAATTTGCTTGGGCTTGATGTTTGTGCAGCCTGCGCTTCTACCTCACTTTGGTCCCATCGCAAGTTGGCATCACTAGGAAGCAATTTGGACAAGCGCTGAAGTTGTTCCCACGTGGCCTGTCCACTTGAGATCATTGCCATAGCCAGCGCTTCCGCCTTGGACTCCCCTGGAACGCATAGTCCTTGCAGATCAACTCCCCGGATCAAGTAGGTGCGTTGTTTGGCAAATTCGTACATCAAGTCCTGTTCAAAGGCCATGATTTCTCGCTCTCCCGCAAAGTAGATTCCGAAATGTACATTCTGTGGCATCTTGTAACCCGGCACATCAACCACCTCATCATCTGATACCACGTCCATGGGATCATCGTACTTGTCTACATCCACATCTGCATCCACATCCACATCACGTAAAGCCCTTTTGCGCGAGACACACGATGAGCGCGATGAGCGCAATGCAAAGTCCATGTTATGAGAGGGGAATGCAATGCCACCGGCGTCGTCTGTACAACACTTGTTATATGCCAATAGCCTGTGCAAGTGGTTGTGTGCGGGCGGGGGAATGCAATCGGTATGGTCACTTCTCACCCTTCTCGAGAGGTATAATTTCTCAACGCATCGGTGGCACAATGGCAGTGGCAACACAGCTTCATATACCCGTGCTCAGATCATGACACAAGTCCGCTAACATGAATGGTAACATACATGGTGCTGCAGGCCGCGGCCGTCATAGAAAAAGCAGAGAGACTCACCGCTTTCTGGACTTTGGAACCTCAGGTGCGGCACCAAGCAACTGCTGTGGTACATGACGGCCTGAGGATTAGCACGAGGGCTGCAGTTTTCCAACGTTTGGACCATTCCGGCATCATTTGCTTCGAGATGTCATGACAAATGACAAATTGTCCAGCTATGAAGCTGTCTCATAGCCAGTGAGCTAAAAGGAGCTAAAGGACAGCCGCCCCGAAGGACCAAGCACTGTCCATCCATCCATCCTAGCGCAGCCTTTAATGCTGTGGCTATAGATTCCCAAAAAGACTGACACCAAGATTAACCCATGGGTGCCGAATACGCTGTTGATGGCGGCATCGGGTTTGCACAACTGCTTCTCACAGCGCAGCGCATCGCGCAGCCATAGTACAATCCGGGCATCCGGGTGCCAATGCCGAATCATGGCCGAATGTGCTTCTGGACCAAATTGGCCAGTTGCGACCTGCCGGGTCGTTCACGTCTGAGGCTCATGCCTATCAGCTGCGTGGCCGCTAGTCCACTGAGTAGCTCCAGATGCTCTTTGATGCTATTCGAAGCGTCGCCAAAGAGACTCAACTGAAGCGTAAAAGTGAGATTGCGTCCTCCCATAGTCTGTTCCAAGGGGCGGCTCGGATGGAACCGCATGATGGCCTCTTCACGGTCCGCCAGCTGCTGGATGGAGGCAATGACAGCCGCCACCTGCTCAAATGATACTCCCGCCTTTTCCTTGTTGGGAACCAGCCGCTCATTCTGTGGGTCCCACTGCACATAGCCCCATGTCATTTCATCGGCATGCAGCCATCCAAGCTTGCGAAGTGACGTCATCTGGTCCTCCTGTTTGGGCAGCAGTTCAACGCGCTTGCCAAACTCCCGAAACAGAGCCTTCACCAGAGCCACGCGCATGGTGGAAGTAAGTTTTTCCGGGGATTTGTCCTTGAGGTCGCGCCATTCTTGCTGCATGGCATACAACGGCTTCACAACACTGGCACGCATATCCACACGCAAGAACATTACCCATGAAACTTCAGCGCGTAGGCAGCACAGGAAATCCTCATGTCGTAGCGCCAACTTCTGCATGGAGAAGATGCACTCCTTGAGAGTGGCTATCTCTTCCTCCAGAGATTTTTCGCGATCGGAGGTCTGCCTCTTAGGATTGCCCCAGCTGCTCCATTGCCTTTGATCCCATTGGCTGCCTCCTTGATTGCGTGAGTCGCGGCCACGACGCTTGGAGCCATGCTCAGTGTGGAATATCGCTGAAGCATTCCCTTTGCCGTTGCCTGCTTTGTCGACGTCTGTCTTGGGAGCTTTGGGAGCTCGCTCAGGATTTGCTTGGGTGGGCTCATTCTCCGCAGCGAGCGATGGTGCAGTAGACCCGTCCCCAATCGAGCCCGCGCCCTTGGAAAGTGCCGGCCAGTACTTATCAAAGAAGCCATGTTCTTGGGCCTCTGGCATCGGAGTATCCACCTCCTCCAACGCACGATTCATGGCCTTCGAAGTACCCGGGAGTGCCAGCAGCTGTGTTCGAGCCCGGCTATGCGTGATCTGCGTCGGGGCTCGCCGCTGCCTGTGGGTGGCAGCGACTAAGCATGATGACATAGATGTTGCGCAGGTGCCCATCATGTATGGTGATGCGTTCTGCGATTTTATTGTCGTCTGTGAGAAACCATGAGGAGCCGACTTTGAGCAAAGCCCGATAGTGTCCAGCTCGAGTGGACCTGCCAAGATGGATGATTGCACTATTCAGCCGATATTCATGCCATTGGGTTCGCGATAGGTCATCGAAAACTGGGATCATGACTGTGTCGGAGATGTTCAGTGCGGTCATCTGCTTGCCTGCCTCGACATATCTGCCAAGTTGAAGACAGATGAGCGGAGCAGTCGAGGTTAGCGCATTTGTGTCCTCAGTTCGGTGCCATGCGTGGATGAGCGCTTGGAGATCAGCCCTGCCACCTGCAGACGTGAGGGGGATAGCAACAGGTTGCGAACCTTGCGCGCGAAGTCGAATGCCCTCCAATGTCTGAGTGCGTGAGTCCCATATGGCCTGTAGACTCATAACCCCAGAGAAAAAGGCGTGGAGATACTCCGCGGTGTCCTGTTGTTCATCATGGAAAGTCCACTCTGGAGTGAGCCTGCGAAAGAGTTGCATCTGAGGAAGCAGCAGATTGCTGGCTTTTGTAGCCGCCTTTTCCCCAACCTTAATCAGGAATTGGAGCTCTGGCGTAGCGATATCCCCAATCTCGATGCAGTGCAGCAGAGCTAGGACACCAGCATTGACATAGCACATCGCGTGAGGATTGCGTAGCTGCAGTCTGCATGTCCACGGGGTCGCATGATTCGCTGCCCTCTGTGCGATAACTTCGCTGCTCAGGGCCCTGCCGGTGAAGTATTGCGCAATGGTTCCATGCATGGCCTGACTCTGCCTGTATGACGCAATGGTTCGAATTGGCAAGTCTGTTCTAGTCGGGGTGACCTGAATACTTTGAGGCTTCGACTCTGAAGATCCTGCCCGAGCACCTCGCTGCAAGGCTGTCTGCATTGGAGAGACAAAGGATTTATAAGCAGCGATGGCCTCGGATCTTCTGGGCATGGTCGGATGGTAGTCCTGGTCAGTGATGTGGCTGCAGTCCTGTTGTCGGAGCCACTTGTATGCCAGAACCTGAAACATGACCGGGCATTGCTGAGAGTGCTGCACGGTGTTCTTGGCGACGCTTCCACAGAAACTGCATGGTCGCCGAAATAGCGCGCTGAGACTGCGAGCTTGAGTGATGACATGTTGTTGCACCTGCTGCCACGCCTGGGCATGGCTGCTCTGCCAGTGCGGCTTGATCTTTGAGGCCTGACGGAGTCGCTGTCCACAAAGATAGCATTGGCTTGCATGCAGGCTGAGTTGATCACTATGTTTGTGTAGATCTTTCAAGTTCGTGTTAAGGATGTCTGCCAGCAAGGGGGTTTGCCGGATGTCACTGGTGAGCTGAGCGTCGGCGCCTTCAGGTAGCTGAGGAGGATCGGTGTATTCCTCATCAATAATGTCTTGCATGAGTTGATCGATGGTTTGCTGTCGACTCATAGCCAGCTTGATTCTAAGGCACATACCCTGAGTGACATGTTTGAGGAGCGCGTTCCAATTGCCTTGCCTGCTCCGACAAAATCGACAAAATGGAAGACCGAAAAGACTATGCTCAGATCGTTTGAATCTGATTTTGGAGGCCTGTTCAACCTCCGGGTGGCGTTGATGCATGTGTTGATGGAGTCCTGATTCTGTAGCGTACGTGATTCCACATACTGGACAAGGAATTTGCGCAATCTGACTGGGGTCCTGCTGTACCAGCACTGCTGTGGTGCCATGCCGTTGTACACTGCCAAGTTGCTCCTGAATTTGGCGCTGTCGGGTATCTTCATGCGTGCGAAGCATTAAACAACGACCTTCATCACGTTGTAAGGTGAGGCCTTGGCTTTCGACCTGCTGTTGTAGATGCTGAAGAAGAGGTAGAGATGCCTGCAGCAAGACCGACTCATTCGAGCGCCCTTTCTCATGTATGCGTAGTACTTGGCGTAAGTGCATGGCTGCCGTGCTTTGTAGAAGACGACAGGCTGAAGTCGTGATTCCTGTGGAGCCAATGCCGTAGGTCAGAGATGGCCAGACACATGTTCGGTATACACTAAGTCGTCGCGCCTGGCTCAGGGGTCCATTCGTGCGTAGAACAGGCTTGAGCTGCGCGTAGTTGAGATTGGCCTGCTGCACGCGACGCTTTGCCGTTGCCATCTCAAAGTTGCCGTAGGTCAACACAGCCCCCAAATACTGCATTTCGTCTGTTAGCGGAATGTGTATGTCATGTGAGTCTTCACGCAGGACTAGACTACGCTGACCGTTCCAGCTTTTAATGTGCTTGCGCATGATGCTGGCCGCCTTCGCGCCTTTGAGAGCAATGGTCGCCAGGGATTTCTGGATGCTGATCTGCATTCCAAGCTCCACAATGGTGTTTAATACAGTCCGTAGATCAATTAGAGCATTATTGAAACTGCGGATGGAGTCAATTTCCCAGTGACAATGCTTATCATCTGCATAAATGGACAAGTGATGCTGAGTCCACGTGCCTGATGTCGATGAGCCGGTGGGGCGCATCCGGGCATCCAGAACCTTGCATAATCGAATGGTCCAACACGCATAGATCATGGGAGCCACACAACATCCTTGACGTAGTCCTCTGTGCATGGATGCTGTGCGAGAGTAGCCACCATGTTCTATTAAAAGCTTCGTCTGCATATGGATGTGCAAGAGCATTCTGCAGAGTGGCTCCGGCATCCCTGTGTCCCTTAAAGCTAGCATCATCTCCGAGTACTTGAGAAGATCAAAGGCCTTACTTAAATCAATGCTCACCATGAGGCCGCCAAGCAACTCTTTCTTGGCTTGTTGAAGAACTTTGGCTGTGTGATCCTCGACGTAGCCTGCCAGCTTGTTGCGAACCATTGCACAATGTAGAGAGGATCTGAGAAGAGGGTCCCGCGTCGATGCCAAGCTTCGATATGCATATTGGGGGTACTCCTTCAGCGCGTTTTGAACCCATGGATTGGCTTGTTGTTTGATCAGGATCAAAAACGCCTTAGTGTCCGGACTCATCAGACCAACGCTCCTGAGTTGTGTTGGGGAGATGGGTGCTTTGCCCGGTTTGGGCAGCCAAGCCAACTGAACCTTTAGCCAATGATCAGGAACATACGGATTGCTGGAACAAATAGTCTCAATAGCAACACGATGCAATGCTGGCGATAGGTCCTCCGCGTGATGCTTCCACCCCAATACGCTTGCCGAGAATTTGGGAACTGCCTTGTGATTGCTTAGTTGCTTCAAGGCCCAAGGCCCATGCCCAACGGTCTGTGGTAAACCAATCCAGCGGTAGGGGCTGTAGAGAAGGTATGTCCCCTGGGTCATCTGAGAATAAATCTGTGGCATAGTTGGCTAAAGCTACGCACTCCTCCTCTACTGACATCAGCTCACCCTGGTCCGTACGAAGACATAACCGTCTACGATAACTCTTTGGCGCAAGCCTTCGGATGTACTGATAATGTTCTCTCGTATGTCCCTGCCGGTGCGCCTCTTCAGCAAGTTGTAGGGTTTCCAGCAGAGCCTGACGTTTTCGTTGTCTAGCTAGCTTTCTGAGTTCCCGCTTCATCTTCTGCTGTTGGATGACCCTCCGCCATGCTGCAAAGATGGATTCCGTATACAGGTGTTCGATGGCCTCCCTGAGCAGATGTTGACGTTGGCGAGCCCGATTCTGTGCCCGCCCCTGCCAAAGTTGCAATATTGCCGCATCCAGGTTCGGGGGCTGCGGCATGTTGGGTCGATATACGGGGGCATCCCAGTGCGTCTTCACCGCCAGCTGGAGCGCATCGAGGTCAACAGGGGAGACCGATAGGACTTGTGANNTACAACCCTGAACATGACTGTCCCCGGCTACTGCATTCTTCCATGGTTTCCAGTTTAGTTTTACGGAAGCAACAATGGGCCTGTGTCCAGACGACCGCCAGGCCGCAATCGGAGCAGCTACAGCACCACTTTGTCGCGCAGTGTTGTCTGCAATCTGCTTGCGTACTATGATGTAGTCTATCTGGGACCTGCCATTGGGATGTTCATAGGTGGCCTCAGGCTTTTTCCATGAGTTGAGAACAACCAGGCGATGTGCACGCAGCAACTCCAATACTTCATTGCGCTCTTGAACCAGCCATGACACTTTGCTGCCTTCTAGGATACCACATCCAGCCACATCTGCAAGCGGTGCTAGTGACATGTTAAAATCACCAAGTAGTACAACAGATGATCTGAATGGAAAACCCCCTATTGCGCGGCCCATCTGATTCCAGAGTCTCTGCCGCTTCCTCATCAGGTCTTGTTGTTGTTCTTGTGGTGTGCGCGAAAGTGCGTGCTGATACATAGCCAGTATGTCCACTTGCTGTTTTTTCACGATGCATCTAACGTGTAACAGTCTTCCCTGCTCCAATTCTCGCCACTTTAGGGTAGTGTCGTTCACTAGATCTTCGCGTATCCCCACCAGTATGCCACCACTCTTCTTGCGTCCTGAACCACTGTGTACGAGCAACCATCCCTGTGCCTTGTAGTCACCGGTGAAGCTCCAGTGGGATTCGATCAGGGCAAAGATTCCAATGGAGGAGTCTTGCCGAAGCCATGTAAACCATTCTAGCTGTAGCTCTTGGGAAAGACCAGAACAGTTCCATTGGACTATTTTGATGCGTTCAGGTCCTAAAGACACAGGGGTAGGTGGGGAGTGCGCAGCTGGTAGTAGAGCCGGTCGCCAAGGGTGTACTGGACGCCCTCGGTAGTAGGCAACATCTCCCTGTTCTGCACGTTTGAGCGCTCGCCTGAGCGTCCGCTTTCGGATTCGCTCTTGTGTCGTCCGCATGATCAAAGGCTTCACTTCCCCATTGTTCGTGGCCGAGGCCACTCTAAACGGGCCTGGGGGAGCACCGTCAACCCTCGCGCCCACAGCGTCGTCTATAATCACTGGTTTCCCGGAACCATACTGTGTTCGGACTTGGGACCGAACCGAGCCAGCGACTTCAGGATGTGCATCTTTAGTCATCGGCGTAGCGAAGTCACCGATCAATCTTTGCAAGGGTCGCGCTTCAGAATCCGTCTCTGCTAATGGTGGCATGCGTGTGATTCCAGTGTGCTGCGCAGATTTTGCGTCGGATTCAGTGCC